CACAGAGAAGCCGCGAGGGCTGGAGCACCTCTGTTATGGAGCCAGGCTGAGAGAATTCGGCTGGATCAGCCTGGAGAAGAGAAGGCTCCAGGGAGACTTAAAGCAGCTCCCAGTGCCTAAAGGGGCTACAGGAAACCTGGAGAGAGGCTTTGGACAAGGGCCTGTAGGAACAGGCCAAGGGGAATGGCTTTAACATGCCAGAGGGGAGACTGAGATGAGCTTGTAGGCAGAAGCTCTTCCCTGTGAGGGTGCTGAGGCGCTGGCACAGGGTGCCCAGAGAAGCTGTGGCTGCCCCATTCCTGGCAGTGTTCAAGGCCAGGATGGACACAGGGGCTTGGAGCAAGCTGCTCTAGTGGAAGGTGTCCCTGCCTGTGGCAGGGGGTTGGAACTGGATGAGCTTTAAGGTCCCTTGAAACCAAAACCATTCTGTGATTCTAATGTCAGTGAGGGATGGTTAGTAGATAAGTGTTACATTTATCCTTGTTCTAGAAAGTAAATGTAGAAAGCAAACTGAAAATGTTTTATTCATCACATTTGATCAGAGCTTGCTTGCAGCACCCAGGCTTGCACATCATGTCAAACAATGTCAGTGTTTCTGCTCCTGCCAGACACAAAGTTCTTTGGTCAGTGTTATAGGAGTTGTCAAAGTGGATAATGCTTCCTAATAATAGCTTCTGAATCCTATGGGAGGATCAGGAAGGAACCAACCTTGCATCCAAGTTGTAAAGTCATTGTGCATGTGCATGTATTCACCAGAAGTTTATTTCTAACCACATCATGTTGTGGAAAGTCACTGTTTTGATGTACAAATGATTTTTTGAAGCCTTTTGAATTGCTGCTCTTCAGTTTCTACAGTGCCTTCACAGCCTGACAAGCTTTTTTCCAGTCCTGAAAAACTCAAAGGACTGAGCAAGTCGGTACCATCATTCCTACAGGAAGAGGTAAGTTTCATTGTCCTTCTGACCTGCTCCATGGACAGCAGCTAAAATGGTCCTAGGGAAGCCATATATTCTTCATAAAGGAGCTTAGGATTTTCCTGTCTTCCACGGACTCTTTGGAACAGGGCTGATTATTCACACTACTTAACTGTTACTTCAGTCCCTGGATTTATTTTGGATAGTCCCAAATATCTCTCTCCAAACCAGTTTGCCTGTCAAGGATCCCTGCCCTGGTCATGATGAGCATTAGTCAGTCCTTACCTTTGGCCTCTGAATTGGGGAATTATCTTGGCCTGCTTTTGCCTAGTGGTACAGACATGGTCATAGGAGCTACAGTTAGCAGATCTTCACAAAGGCTTAAAATGCTTATATGCTATTTATTTATGTCTGTAAATATCCGTTTTCTTTAGTGTGTGTAGATGTTGTTTATTAATCTTGCATCTGCTAGTAGAGGAGCTATGAAAGCAATTCAAAACCTTATAAAAGAGAGGGGAAGCCTTGTAAATTGGGTGGAATGCAGCAGGAAGATGCTACTTTCTTTAGCAGCTTGCAAAGGAAGATGCTAAGACACACATGGGAAGTGAAGTATGGATTCTTTAGTACAGCAATGACAGTGAGACAGAATGGGGTTCTAAGCACATAACCTGGTAATGACCTGGTAAACCACAACTGCAGTTCCTTGAGGGAAAAACAGGGCCCTGCTTAGTGTCCTGCGAGGAAGGCTCTTTGTATCCAGTGCTGTTGTAGTTTGTAAGTTGCCCCCAGCTCCCTTCAAGATAGGGTACAGAACTGGCAGTACTTGCTACGTAACAGAAAGTGACTGGTGAAAGACCTGAGCATTATCACTTGCAAGGTGAAGTAGAGAAGCTGCGTTTAATTGCCCCAGTAAAACTGTACTCCTTCATTGCTATTTGAGATTTAAATCCAAAGCCCAAACCTGGTTGCATTACTGCTTTAAATTTTCACTGCAGGCTTTCCATCAGAAAATACCCCTTTCAGTTTTAAGTTCATGACCTAATTCAAGAACTATTGGTTACTCATGTTGCACAGCCAGGGGATTTAAATTCAGGTTTTCACTGAGCTTCAGTCTGCATTAAAAATCTGTTCATTTTTGTTTGTTTTTAATGTTCTTTGTAACCATGAAGAACCAACACAGGCTTTTTCTGTGCTGTTTTTGTAGAGTGATGACAGAGAGACAGATACAGCATCAGAAAGCAGTTATTCCCTTGGCAGAATCAAGAAGAGTCCCAGCTCTCTAACCAATCTTAGCGGCTCCTCTGGCATGGCCTCCTTATCCTCTGTATGTAAACCACAGCCTTGTTTTAATAGCACTTTGCTTTTGCTAATCTCTTCAGTATTGTTTCAGCTCTCTTTTTATTCCTCTTACCTTTTCTGGCATCTCTATCTCCTTCCTTCTTTTCTGTTATGTGAACGCTTGTATGGAATTGCCTCAAACAGATAAAATAGAATTGGTTTTACTTTTCCTCTTTAGGAATATATTGGAGCTTGTTCAGGACTCCCCTCTATAAGCACTGAACAAAGTGATAGCTTTTACCCCAAGAGCTTGCATTTGTAGCTGAAAATGAGGGACAATTTATATAGAACAAATGGTAAGGAGGAAGAGGTGGAGGGGGAGAGAAATAACTGAAAGCAAGAGGCAGTACTTGTACAGGAGTGTTTAAGTCCATGAATTAGCTAACCAGGTTATTAGTTTCTATGGAGTTTCTGGAGAATTTTGGGGAAGGATATTGAGACTAAAAATGATCTTACATTCTTCTCTTCCTCCATATTCATGTTTAATTTTCAGTGCTTTACTTAGGTACATAATTCAGCCATATAGGCTTTAGCACTAATCTTTTTGTTGATGTTTTCTAAAGGCCTGTTGCCCTAAATTCTTGAGCTCTGCTTTCTGCAGAAGGAAGATCAGCTGAAGGGATCTAGAAGTAATATTTCAAAGGTCTGATCCCAGATAGTCCCCAGATCTGCAGCATCCCATCACTTCATCTATTTCAATGCAATAAACACATTGTTTTTGTAGCAGACTTGGCCTAACACCTTTGACTTACAAATAACTTTCTGCTTGCTGAGAATCTTTTGTTATAGTGTCCCCTAGTTTGCTCTTTTAAAGGGACACAGCTGATTTCTTTACTGTCTGCATTCTGAGCACAGCTTCTATCCTAATCTTGAAGTATGTGGCTAAATGCAATGCCTGGAAAATGTTTCTCCTCTTCTCTGGCACAGGTGAGCGGAAGCCTCATGAGCATCTATAGCGCAGACTTTGGCAATGTTGATGTGAAGGGGAACATCCAGTTTGCCATTGATTACGTGGAACAGCTGAAGGAGCTCCACATCTTTATTTGCCAGTGCAAAGACTTGGCAGTGGCAGATGTTAAGCGCCAACGTTCAGACCCGTGAGTACACAGAAGATACTGATTTCCTTATGGAAGCTTTATCTTTAATGTGAAAATGAAAACTGCTGTTTTATTCCAATCTCTATAACCTGTTGGAGTTTACAACTCGATAAATAAATGAAGAGACTATAACGTGCTTCATGTGTTTTTCCACTCTGAATGTAGAATTGCCACTATAAATTGGTACATGGGTCAACATGGGAAGCTCAAACTTTTAAGAATATGAAAGTCTTTTAAAACTCAGCTTTCCAGATGATAAATACTGGTTTGATGTTTCCAACAGGATTAAAGCAAATAAGCAGTATATCTGGGCATATTATAATTAAACATTCTGTATGGGTATATGTTGAGGAGACATTTAAACAGGTTTCCCCCTGGTAGAAGGAGACTGATGTCCCACTTCGGAAACTACTGTTATATTTCACCACTGCTGTTCACTTCCTAAATGTAACAACTTGAACAATAATGGCTATTAAGTGGATTTATTTGACTTTATAAGAAAATAACTTGTGTCTTTTGGAAGGGGATGTTGGAAAGGGTGGGGTTTTTTTTTGCCCTTCTAACAAGCCTGTCTTAAATTTTAGGTATGTAAAGACCTACCTGCTTCCAGAGAAATACAAGCTGGGCAAACGGAAGACTTCTGTCAAAAAGAAAACTTTTAATCCAGTCTATAATGAAATATTGCGGGTATTTTCTAACTCTTCCTGTATATGGAATACTACATGCCTGAAAGAGGAGGAACCTTAACTTTTAGGCACAGGTGTAGATGCTCTCAAAAGAGACATTAGGGTGAGGGGGATTGCTCTGCAGAAGTACCTGTGCCCTTGCACTGGTAGGTGAACCCCACAGTGTACTCTGGGTACAGCAGTGAGAACACTGGTGGTTGTATATTTCTCACAAGCACAAACAGTATGAGCTAAGGGTTCATACGTTTGGTAAGAGAAGGGCCACGAAGATGCTGTGATGGCTGGAGCAGCTCTGTTACAGAGCAGGCTGAGAGAGCTGGGCTGGTTCAGCCTGGAGAAGAGACAGGGGAGACCTTAGAGCAGCGCCAGTGCCTAAAGGGGCTGACAAATAAAAGCTGGAGAGGGCTTTTTATAAGAGCATATATTGACAGGACAAGGGGGAATGGATTTAACCTGACAGAGGGGAGATTTAAATGAGCTCTTAGGCAGAAGTTCTTTACTGTGAGGCTGCTGAGGCACTGGCACAGGGTGCCCAGAGAAGCTGTAGCTGCCCCATCCCTGGCAGTGCTCAAGGCCAGGTTGAACAGGGCTTGGAGCAACCTGCTCTAGTGGAAAGTATCCCTGCCCATGGCAGGGGGTTGGAATTGGATGAGCTTTAAGGTCCCTTCCAGCACAAACCATTCTGTGATCCTATGAAATCAAAAGTAAAACATGAAGAGAGTTTTGTTTTGAAAGGAAGCAGTGAGCAGCTATGGGTGTATAAACCCAGCCACATTTCAGACATAGCACTGGTAAAAAGCCAGCTTTGAAATATTTTTTTTTCCCTCATTTCTTCCTTGTGGCAGTATAAAATTGAGAAGGATCTCCTAAAGTACCAAAGCCTCAATATCTCTGTGTGGCACAATGATACCTTTGGGAGGAATAGTTTCCTTGGTGAAGTGGAGCTGGATTTAGGAACATGGGACTGGAATGAGAAATCCAACAAGCAGATCAACTGGTTTCCGCTCAAGCCAAGGGTAGGTCACTAAGGGTGGGTCAGTTCTGTATTTTCCACTGTGTAAGTGCAAAACTCCGAGTCTTTATTTACTCATGTCTGGTCTTGTGTGTTCTGTGGGTTTTGTGTTGGTTATAGTCATAAATGCCTCTTTTCTGGTAGATGGAACATCCAGTTCTGAGGTTTCTGTTAGTCTAGTAAGTAGCTAGCTATTATTATAGTAGGAAAAGCTTTCTCACAGTGTAAGGAGTAGGAATTTCAAGTTGTTTTTCACTTACATCATGTTGCTGCAGCAGATACCCGAAGGCATTTTTCCCCCAAATACAAGCAAACCTCCTCAGAACATGGAGCAAGTGCAGCAGCATTTTAATGTTAGATGTAAGGATAACTTCCATGTCTGTGTGCATCTTGTTTGCTAATGGGTTTCAGCCAAGATCTAAGCTTTCAGCTAAGCCCCTGCCAGAGGTTCTGGTTTCTTTTGTTGTTGTTTTCTGCCTTTTTTATTTCTTCCTCTCTTCGTTGAATTTACTTCATGAATTCATTCCAAAATCAGCTCAATCCAAAATTGAATAATTTATAGAACAAACCGAGAATGTCGTGGTGATCTTTAACACTAGTTGAATTCAACTGATTTTTAAACTGCTCTGGGTAGGTAAATGTTAACAGGGATCCTGTTCCATCCTCAGATGGTCCATGACTATGAAGAAATGACACATTCTGGTGCCTTTTTGCAAGCTAACTTTTGCTAAGGCTGCTTTTCAGATTGTATTAAATGAGGCAAAACATTCCTATAGGAATGAGTTTAGAAAAGTCCATTTTCTGTTGCACAAAGAGTAAGTTTCCTGATTAAAAGAGCAGACATTCTGATTTTAAATAAGGGCACATCAGTGGAAATGCTGCATCCTCAAAGTCTTCTGGCCTCTCCTGGGTCTTGTTTTCTGCTTTAGTGAAAGAGTTGCATATCATCTGAGTCACTGCAAGTGGTTAAACATGCCCTAAAGTCTCTCATGTCCTGTAAACTGAGGGCAGACTAATGGGTATGGAACAAGAAAAAAACTTGCCTCCTGTAGAAGTCAGGCTTGTTCCAATGGAAAACTTTGCAGAGCAAACTCTTTGTGAAGTGCAAGCTTTGACATTTTTGGGGGTTTTCTTCTTCTTAAATTTCAGACTTCAACAATGACTCTTCAACTAGAAAACAGAGGGGAGATGAAACTGGCCCTTCTGTATGTCCCACACCCTGCTGGAGGTATGCTTTGCTTCTTGCTTTGGGTTTGTTAAGCCTTTGGGGGTTTAGTTCTTTCTACTCAGCCATTTCAGACACCTTGTTTTAATATAAAGTAGAATTATTCCTTCTAAAGTGAGACAAAGGGGCACAAAATCACAAAATGGAATACATAAAAATCTTTAGAATCAGTTTTAAGTAATGTTAACTTTGATGGCAGTAGCAATGGAAAATTATTGAGGTGCATGATACATAGAGAAAAAAAATAGGGTACAGCTAGAGAACATACTGAGAATTCTCACAAGATAAATCGTTATAGTTGGCCTAGTTTTAAGAGAAACAGTCTAGAAGAACAGGACACAGTGATAAAGAGTATCTGGGAACCACAGGTGTCCAGGATGGGCTACAGTTAAACTAACTGACAAGTAGGAGGATAGGAGGATTATTATGTCTCTGGTGCTAACGAACCAATTAAACTGGTATGAGCATCTACTGCACGTGCTTCAAAGGCTGCCAGAAGTGATGAAGATTGTTGGAAGAAGTAAACGACCCTCAGAGACCACCACCATAATTCTGTACGCATGCGGGGAACTCTCTGGAAAATGATGTAGTCCATATGTAGCCTCATGAATATGTATGTATGCCCAGGGACTATATAAGGATGGCTTGTATAGCAATACGGGGACACATGCTAGGAGGAGCTATCCCCGTGTGTCTCGGTGCCGCAATAAAGAATACCTGCTTGTCAGCTTGAAAACTTTGTTGCCAAGTTTGTTCCTGGAGCTTTCTCCGAACCAAAAGCCACCTTGCTCACGAATTCAGTTTAGCATCCAAAGATCACTTTAGGATTTTTGTCGGTTTTAATGTTACTACAGAAGAAATGGCCTCACTGCTGTAATCTTTGATTTGTAACATAGTCTGTATATGTAATAAATTCTGTTATCTCACTAATAATTGTAGAGATTATAAATCACAAGGCAGGTGCTATGATTCGCTAAACAAACAATGACAACACACTGAATTCAAGTGATATTAGAAGTAGAAAATACCAATAAGTATTTAGAATGCATCATTCTATGCTCTGTTTGGTTTAATCTTGTCTGGCAACAGATAACTGCTGATTTGACAGTGAGGTCAGGCCTTTAATCCAGCCAGTCAGTCAATAAGAATACAGTCACAGCACAAAAGAGCTTATTTGAAAGTCCAAGCATCAATAAATGTTAACATCACGTAGACTGAAGACAAGCTGTGACTTCCCTATCTAGGAGGCTTTGAAGAGGAGACTGATAGTATGCATATAGTTGTAACAGAGAAGTAGGAATACAGACATGATGTGGTCTTGCTGTACTTTGATGGGATGAAGATTGCAGCTTCCGAGGTTGAATTAAGGTATAATGAGAGTCTAGGCTAAATATCCCCTCTACAAATGGACAGGAATTGCTACATCATGGAAATTACCTTTAAAAGGGATCTGCAAGGCTTCATTATGTTTTACTTTTGCAGGGAAAAAGAGTGTACCTACTGGTGAGGTCCACATCTGGGTGAAAGAATGCCATGACCTTCCTCTTCTGAGAGGCAATAGGCTCAACTCTTTTATTAAGTGGTAAGAACTGGGATCAAAGGTATCAAAGGTGGTGGCCTACTAATTGTAACTTAAACTGTTATGTTTTCTAATCTTATCTTCATGTTTCTGCATTCAAATTTAAACCCACCTAATTACTTTCTGATTCTCCTTGATTGTAATGCAAATTGTCCTGCAGGGTTTACAATTTGAAGATGTTAAGCATGTGCCACCGATTAGAACAGACTGGGAGAGCTTTCTGTGTAATCTGCTCTTCCATTCTGCTGCTCAGTTACTCGGTAGGGGGAAGAGCTCCTCACAACTATGCCTGCTTTTATTTGCATTTAAGTAAGGTGTGTTTGTGCAGGAGTCTGGTTTAGTTTAGCAAATCTAGGGAGGAGACAGAAGTGAGAAGCATTGTGGTATTTCTTCCTCCTTCCTTTCCACGTACAGACTGAAAATGGGAAGAGACAAGAATAATGACATGGTTGGGAAATCCCCAGTGAGGACAAAAGGTTTCAGTGTCATTCATGATAAATGAAATCACTTTTGCCTCTTCATCACCTGACCTCCTCTTCTCTTCCATCTGCTGAAGCACAGGGGTGGATACATGCTGCCAGTATTTCATGGGACTGAGAATATGACATTTGACTTCATCTCCACAATGCTAAAGCATCTTCAGTCATGTCCTAACATGCAAAGGGCACTGTTAATCAGTAGGTTTTGTCTGTGTTTGATGTTTAAGCGCAAACTGACAATGCTTTTTCTTCCTGAAGTACCATTCTGCCAGACACCAGCCGCAAAAGCCGCCAGAAAACAAGAACAGTGGCAAAAACTACAAACCCCATATTCAACCACACCATGGTCTATGATGGCTTTAGACCAGAAGATTTGAAAGAAGCCTGTGTAGAACTCACAGTCTGGGACCACAACAAACTGGCCAACCACTTTCTGGGAGGTCTAAGGATAGGCCTTGGAACAGGTACTGGACAATTAACACATTAAGCCTTAATGTACAAAATGCAGGCTCTCCTTTTTACCTTCTTCCTTTCCTTTTCTTCTCTTTTTGCAAAGATCACCCAACAGCCTTTCAGTTAGTTATTTACTGAAGAGTTTCATTCAATGCCATGTCCAGCTGGACCAAGGACAAGTAACTTTCCTATTTTGAGTACAGATCCTGAAATGTAAATCTCAGTAGTGTTATGAGGGTTAGGATGACTGACAAATGAGGAGAAATACTGGAAGTAAACCTTTGCCTGGCCATACGCTGTATCTGGTACTGTTTGAAGTACAAGAACGTGTGTCCAAAATACTGATAACGTCTTACAGACTCATGCAAAAACTAAATATGAGGTGTAAGGAATGTGTTGGGTGGAGATAAAAGGATAGATCAGGAATGTGTGATAAGATTTGAAGACGTTGGAGAGGAAAACTTAGAAATGCAAACAAGTTTTCAGCATGAGGGCAATATAAAATGTGTAGACAGAACTGTGTGTTTTCCCTGTCATTGTATTTGTCCCTTTTATTGTCTGAGGGGAGGATGTGTTTGGAGCCTTTCCAAGCAAAGACAAGAAAAAAATTTCCCAAGTTACCATGGTTCACCAGAATAACTTAAAATACAAACTGGGACGGTAAATCTCAATTTGAATTCTAGAGTTTCCAGCATTGTACAAAATAAGTGTCCTGTTTTATTCTTAAACCCTCTCAAATATTCATAGAATCACAGAATGTTTTGGGTTGGAATGGAGCTTAAAGACCATCTAGTTCCAACGCCTCTGCCATGAGCAAGGACACCTTCCACTAGACCAGATTGTTCCAAACTCCTACATCTTGTGACAAAAAGGCTAAGGATAACACGAAATACGACCAAGTTTCTGTGTGAAATTCTTACTAAATGTGTTTGATAGAACTGTTCAAGTCCATAAATGTAGAACTGGTTCTTCGAAATACTGGGTCAGCCACCTGAGAATGTGAAACTGTTTTAGAAGACAGACAAATGTGATTGCCTGCTTCTACCTCTGCAACACATCAAGTAATGTTTCCCTTAACTGACATTTTTCCAGGCAGAAGCTATGGGACTACAGTAGACTGGATGGATTCTACTTCAGCAGAAACTGCCCTCTGGGAGAAGATGATCAACTCTCCAAACACTTGGATAGAAGACACGCTACCTCTCAGGATGCTAATGGTTGCAAAGTTGACAAAATAAGGTGGCTTTTTAATTGCTAGTGTCCAAAAGAAACTTTGGAAATAAAATTAAAGGTGTAGGGGTGAAACTTGGAAGAGGAACACAGTACCTCTTTGACAGTCTCTGCTCAGCTGCTCTTCTGGTTTTGTACTGTCAAATGTCACTTCATGTTTCAAATTAAATATCTGCCTGAAGATTAGTATGTAAATTTAAGGGATTCTTTCACTTCTTATTCACTGAAAAGGACTTAAAGAAGGTGGCACTTAAAGAACTCAGTGGTAGAGGTGTCTATGGTACCCAGATGCTTGTGTTGCCAAACAGAAATGATCCCTTAAATAATCTAAGTTACCACCAAAACCCCCAAGTCAGGTCTTTCTCTACACCCCAGGATTGTTCATGAGGTGTTCTTAATAAGACAGCAACAAGTTGTGTTTTGTTCATGCTCATAGGGTGTGTTGTATCCTCATCATGCCATGCCAGGTCCTTTAGTTGCAGTTGTACATTTCTAGGATATGAAAGTCACTTCTACAGTGAAAGCAGCATGAAGAACACTGACAGTGTCCTATCTGGCAAGGTGCAGAGGACTCTTAGTTCCCGTGTACTATAAAAATCAGGGTTATAGAACTTTGCTTGTATGTGGCTTGTTTTGCTCATGTATAATCCTCACTTTTAAATGCTGGAGGCACAGAGGCAAAACTTTTTTTATTCAGATACTACTCTAAAGGATCTAAACCTGCCAATTTTAGTGATGACCAGTGTGTTGGGTATTTATTCGATAAGGAATACTCAGCTGTATCTATAGCCATGAGCTCCGTGTTTGGCTATAATTTATCTGTGCTTCAGCACCCCTGTTAGGAGAACACTGGGGTTCTGGTGGCCCTGGTTTAGGGAGCTTTGCAGTACAGGGAGTAGGACTGGGACCTGCAGAAATGCGTGCTATTAGAGTTATATAAATGCAGAAAATACTAAATGTATTACTTTTTTAATAAAAAAAGCCTATTAAAGCTAAACAGGAATTTAGTGCTTATTAAACCCCAGTGGTTTATGTTAGCAACTCAGCATGTGATGTAACCAACTACAGACAGAACATGTTTCTGCAAATATATGCACATTTATGTGCTTCAGCTGTGTCTACAAGTTGGCGAGATCCTGTGCTTCAGTGGGAGGGGAAAAGAAATTGAAATGCTACTTGGTATTTATTACACACTAGGAATAGAGAAAAGAGAAGGTGCCATTCACCCTGCCGGGGAACCCACTGCCTCTCCCATCAGCCAGGTTTACAAATGCCGTAAGTAGTTGTCAGTCCTCATATCTCACTGCTTCGGGCATTTGGGATGGGATTGGTGGCTGTGACACTAAGCCAGATAGAAATAAAACCTTAACCTGGCCTGGTTAAGAGAGCAGGGCACATGCAACACTTCAGAGCAATGGATTTGCACTTCAGTGGTACAACAGCTACTTTGTTTCTGTATTTGGAAATAGCCTCCTGAAAGGGTGGTGGTTTTGGAAAAGCAGAGAGGCACCAGCTCGTTTGCATTCACTGCCTACATGAATTCTTTTTCACATGAAAACATAGCTTGCTGTTAACATGACCTACAATTTCACAGGATTAGTTTGTCATTGTCATCGTTGTTGTTGTGCTTCCTGTGAAGCTCAACTATTTTGCTACATTAAAATAGCTTTGGGACTTCAGTTGTAGGGCCAGGTCTGGGGGTTCTACATATGGATGGATGCTGGAGAGGGACTCTTCACCAGGGACTGTAGCGATAGGACAAGGGGTGATGGGTTTAAACTGAAACAGGGGAAGTTCAGGTTAGATATAAGGAAGTTCTTCACTGTGAGGGTGGTGAGGCACTGGCACAGGGTGCCCAGAGAAGTGGTAAATGCTCCATCCCTGGTAGTGTCCAAGGCCAGGCTGGATGGGGCTTGGAGCAACCTGCTCTAGTGGAAGGTGTCCCTGCCCATTGGAACCGGATGAGCTTTAAGGTCCCTTTCAACCCAAACCAGTCTGTGATTTGATGATGGTTTTCAGCAGAGCTCTAGCAGCTGTGCTTATCTTTTTACCATTTTACTATTGTCATACACAAAAGTCACAGCTGTTCACCTGGTGAGGTGAAGGGAAGATTACAAACCAAACTGCTTTATCAGCGCAAAAGGTACTTTGCTGATGCTATGCATGCTGTAGCATTTAATTATAGAGTAGAAACTTTACAACCTTGCCTCCTGCTAAAGGATATTATCTTGATTTATTAAAAGGTGCTTGGAAATTATGGCTGCATCTAATAATGTAACCCAGCAGGAATTCTGTGTTAAGCATCTAACTGAAGACATGCACAATTTACTGTTTAAAAGCTATTACTGGTGGTTTTTGACATTTCCCTGATCGTGGCTCACATGCTAACACAGCTTTCCATCAAACCCATAGTCATTTTCAACTACAGCGGTATGTTCCACACTGATAATGTGCTGACAGGGAAATGCAAGTTTACAAAGTTGATTAGGCCAGAAAGTTTCAAGAAACCAGTTTCTTAAAACCAGAACAGCTCTGCAGGTGAAAGGTTTTAGTCACCTATAACAGAAGCTTTAAAGGTATGTAGTTAGTTACTCACTCAAGGGCAGTTTGATAAGTTAATAACTATGTTTTGATTCTTTATTCCAGTTCACATTTATGAGAAAGCAGCTGTACACCTAGAATGTCTTTACATTCATTCTTGTCTGGAGAAACACATACCACCCCACCAACCCCTACCTTTTTCCTTTTGGGTTTGGTGGGTTTTGTTATTTCTTTTCTTGCCTTCTTTGCTTTAGCCTGGAATGTTTTTTGTTTGGTTTTGGTACACATATACATATACGCCTATGCATGTGTAAATTCTAAATTACACCAGCTGCCTATAGACCAGGCATCAAAGTCCCAGCTCTCCTGTTACACTCTGTGTTTCCAGAAACAACTCTTTCCTGCAAGCAAACCCATAAACCTGCTTTGATTTTACCCATTTTGAAGGATTTGGTACTGCAGCCTCCTTGTTTTCTTTGCTTTATATCCCCTACACACATCACTCACTCCTCTCTGCTTTGCATCCTCTTCCAATGGAGTCAGCAACACCTCCACTAACTTTTTTCCTTCCAGCTGTTTTCCTCCCCTATCCCATCAGCCAGGCTTTTCATTCACTGCTTAATGAAGCCGCAGGTTGTTCAGGGTGAGGGTTGTGTTGTTACTTACCATGGAGCCTGCCACTCTGAGCTCCTCTGGCATGCACAGGGCACAAGCTGGGGAACTCTTCAGAAGTGTGGAAATCCTCTTCCCTTTACCAAATCTGTGCACTTTCGAGAGCGTTTGCAGCGTTTGTTTTGCTAGGAAACACCCCCAGCTCTTTCAGCCGCTGGCCCATCTCCAGGCAGCCAGGACAAAGGCCCGACTCCATGGTGACTGGACTCCACCTCTGATCTCCACGGAGACAGGAACCCCCTGCAGCAGTGACAACAAACCAGCTGGGGAAAGAAAACACCGGGTAAGAAAATGTTTATCTCCTCTCAGACACTGCTCTGCATTGTGCTTCCACTGGATGGCCTAAACCTTTTAGTCTTCCCCCTTTCCTCTGTTACTTCCAAATGTTTTGGCAAGACCCAAGGTAGCAACAGGAATAGGGAAGTGAAGGATGATGGAGATGGATGTTGTGTCCATACTAATGGTCACCACAGCTCTGAAGCTGTCTGTGCTCCACAGCATTGACTCAGTTTTGCTGTACAATACTTTTCCTCCTTTTTTAAGCTGTCTCTTTCCTTTGTCCTCCCCTTACCTTCAGTCAAAGCCCAGAATTCACAAAGCCTGGTTCTTGGCATGCTGTGTCACATGCCATGTGGTTTAAGGTCTGAATCTGAATGAAAAACTTATTTTGAGTTTAGTTTTAAACTAACATTTTGTATCTCTGGGTACATTGCCAGACAACCAGGCACCAGTAATGACTTTGGTGCCAATGTAATATAAATATTTCCCTTATTTTGACATGAGGAGCCAGACTTCAAAAATGGCATGCCTAAAATAATCCAGCAAATGAGTGTCAAAACTCAAAGGACGAACCATTTCTCCAGGCACAAAGTCTTTGTACCTCAGGGCATTGGGTAATTATCATCATCCTATAGATCTTCTATTTCATTCATAAATCTCTAAGCATGGGATAAGGTTACTCGGTTATTTTCAATGAATGATGCACCACTAAAATCTTGCAAATCAATTTGAAGCTCAATCCATGTTTTACTCACATTTATAACACCAGATCTGTAGGAGAATATAAAAGCAGAGGAAAAGGATTGCTTAAGGAATTATTGACATCTTTATCACTTATAAGCTTTATACCTGAAAATAATAGTGGTTGTAGTTACAACACCACCACTTTGAGAAGGAATAATTAGCAAAGCTAATATATACCCCTGTCAAAAGCCTCTCTCCCAAGTTTCTTGTCAGCCCTTTTAGGCACTGGGAGCTGCTCTAAGGTCTCCCTGGAACCTTCTCCAGGCTGAACCAGCCTGTCTCCATAGCAGAGGTGCTCCAGCCCTCTGGTCATCTTTGTGGCCTCTGAACTCACTCCAATAGGGCTCATCTTTTTTTTCTCATTTCTGTGTGGGACAGGGGCTCCATGGCTCAGAATGGGGGACAAGAAGCGATGGCTAACTCCACAAGTGATTCAAAGATGAGAAAAGTCATTGAAGATCTGACAAAAAGCCTGAAAGAACTCTGTAGGAGCCCCGAAGATGAGAAGAGTGAGAAGGCATTGCTACAATCACATCTAGAACAGCATCACCTCATCTGTATGTTGAAGAAAAAAGCAGAGGATGCATACAAACAATGCAAAGGCCTGAAGCAACAAAACATGGAGCTGGAGAAACTGAGGAGAGAGGATGCTGTGAAGATGAAAGCCCAGACCCAGCAGATTCAGTGTTTGGAGTGGCGCTTCAGGGATCTGGCTGACAACCATGAAAAAATGATCCAGCTCAAGGATGAACACCGGGAACGGAACATGCAGCTGCAGGAGGAGAACAAGCGCCTGCAGCAGGAGAACCAAGTGCTCTTCGGTCAGGCTATGAAGAGGAAGGAAGCTGAAGTGCTCCAGCTTGCTGCCCAGGCCAGGAAGCTCTCGGAGCAGTTAGACTCCTTACAGGAGAAATGTGCTTATGAGACCTGCAGAGCGCAGGAGCGGGAAGAGGAGCTGCTGGAAGCTAAGAGCCAGCAAGCCAGCTCCTACGCCTGGGAGGTTGATTCCTTAAAGCACCAGCTGCAGTGCCTACAGGAGCAGCACAAACAAACCCTGGCGAAGGCAGAGCACGTGGAAAGCCAGCAGAGAGCCCAGGACAGCGAGTTGCGAGCCAGGCTGCAGAGGGCCAACGAGGAGAAAAAACAGCTCTTGAACCTGGCCACGGAGAGAGGCAAAGCTCTGCAGGACAAGCAACAGGAAATTCAGCAGCTGTGGAAGAAGCTGGAGACGGCAGAGAAAGCCAAGCGGAAAGCAGGGAAGCGCGCGGTGAAAGAGGCAGCAGCAGCGGAAAGTGAGCTGAAGGTGCAGGAGCTGCAGCGGGAGCTGGAAAGCAGCAAGCAGGCGTACAATGAACTCGTGCTGCACTTCAATGCCTACAGGAAGCACAGTGAGGATTTACTGACGAAAGAGAAAGCGCTGAATGACAAACTCCGTCATTTCATTGTGTGACTACAGCTTTCTCAGTGCCTCTCTCATGGCACACCACTTCACGCTGTTCCCTTGCACGAGATCATCTTCTGCTTCCTCTGTAATGCACTTGCCAGTTTAAAGCAGCCTACAAAGAGTTCTGTGGCCTGTTTCTTTGTTATACTTTTATAGAAGGAAGAGCCGTTAAATCTGAACGGGGATGGTTGAACCAGTCAAAGCTGAGACATGACATTAGGGTGGAAAATGTAAAGTATGAGTTTGATATATCTGATCCTAACCTCTGCTCTATCATAATTTTCACTTTTTATAGTTAAAAGCACATTATTTTCCAAGATGGACAAAAGCTCAACCCCTTTTGAGCCTTTTGTGTTTGATTCTTCCTTGAAGTTCAGCAGAGGCTGGGCATGTAAGAGGTAACACCGAGGCTCCAAGGAAGAAATCCCATCTTGCAGCACCTATGTATTAAAATTAAGAGGATGTGGACATGCTTGAGCAAGTCCAGAGGCCATGGAGATGCTGAGGGCTGGAGCAGCTCTGCTCTGGAGCCAGGCTGAGAGAATTGGGCCGTGTCATCCTGAAGAAGAGAAGGTGCCTTAAGGGGAGACCTTAGAGCAGCTCCAGTGCCTAAAGGGGCTACGTGAAACCTGGAGAGGGGCTTGGGACAAGGGCCTGTAGGGACAGGACAAGGGGAATGGCTTGAACCTGCCAGAGGGGAGATTGAGATGAGCTCTTAGGCAGAAGCTCTTCCCTGTGAGGGTGCTGAGGCGCTGGCACAGGGTGCCCAGAGAAGCTGTGGCTGCCCCATCCCTGGCAGTGTTCAAGGCCAGGTTGGACACAGGGGCTTGGAGCAACCTGCTCTAGCGGAAGGTGTCCCTGCCTGTGGCAGGGGAGTGGAACTGGATGAGCTTTAAGGTGCCTTTAAACCAAAACCATTCTGTGATTCTATACATGGTCATGTTTCAGGAACTGAACCAAGCTGCACCAGGGAAAGTTTAAACTGGATATTAAGGACAATTCCTTCCCCAGAGGGTGCTCAGGCATTGGAACAGGCTGCCCAGGGCAGTGCTGGCGTCACCATCCCTGGAAGCATTCAAACACAGTGTAGACAAGGCCCTTGGTGACATGGGTTAGTGGTGGCCTTGGCAGCGCTGGGGAGTGGTTGGCCTTGATGATCTTAAAGGCCTGTTCCAACCTGATTGATTCTACAGTCTCCAGACTAAACAGGCCCAGCTCCCGCAATCTCTCCTCATAAGCCTCGGACTGCCGTCGGCTGCTCTGCTTTCCCCAGCTGACATGCAGCGAGGAGCGCCCTTTCCCTCCGCTGAATGCGAGAGTGCCTAAACCCTAACCATGAGCAGGAGCCAGCCCCTCGCTGTGACAGCCCCAACCCCCAACAGCCCAGCGGGACATCCCCCGTCCTGCCCTCGCTGGGGGCTGTGGGTGACAGAGCCGCCACATCCCCATCCCCTCACACTCGGGCTCCCATTGCACTGGGGCTCCTCTCGCACAGAGGCTCCCCTCGCACTGGGGCTCCCATTGCACAGGGGCTCCACTCACACTGGGGCTCCCCTCGCACAGGGGCTCCACTCACACTGGGGCTCCTCTCACACAGGCTCCCCTCACACTGGGGCTCCTCTTGCACAGAGGCTCCCATTGCCCAGGGGCTCCCCTCTCACAGGGGCTCCCATTGCACAGGGGCTCTCCTCTCACAGGAGCTCCCCTCTCACAGAGGCTCCCATTGCCCAGGGGCTCCCGTCTCACAGAGGCTCCCATTGCCCAAGGGCTCCCATTGCACAGGGGCTCTCCTCACACTGGGGCTCCCATTGCCCAGGGGCTCCCCTCACACAGGGGCTCCCATGGCACAGGGGTTCCCTTCCCAGCCGCCGCTTTCCCGCGCGCGGGCGCCGCCGCCAGGCGCCCCCCCCCCTCACAGCGGGCCGCTTCCCGACAGGCACCGCGGCGGGAGCGCCGGGCTGGGGCTGCCGCCGCTCTCGTCAGGCTCCGTCCCGTCCCGTCCCGCCCGCCGCCATGCGCCACAGCCTCACCCAGCTGCTGGCGGCCTCCTCCGGCGGAGCGAGCCCCTCGGGTGCCGTCTGGCCGCTAGCCGGCGCGGGGCAGGCCCCGAGAGGGCGGGATGGCGGCGGGGAAGGGGACCCGGGCCCTGCGCGGCCCAAACAACAGCAGCCGCCGCGGCGGGAGGAGAAGGAGCCCGAGGCACCCGGCGGCCCGCTGGAGGTGTGGGAGCAAGAGGACTGGTTCCCGGGCTTGGAGCTGGGAGACCTGCTGGAGGCGGCCCGGCCGGACTGGGACCTGGATGCGGAGCTGAGCGGCTGCTTCTGTGGGGAACCGGAGCCGCTGCCCCCGCCGGGCCCGGGCCAGCGGCCGGCGGCGGTCGGGCGGAGGAATGGCGGGGCTGGGAGCCGGCTGAAGGCGGCGGCGGCGGCGCGGCTGAACCGGCTGAAGAAGAAGCAGTACGTGCTTGGGCTGGAGAGCCGCCTTCAAGGCCTGGCTGCTGAGAACCGGCAGCTGCGGGACCGCAACCGCGGCTTGAGCCGCCGCCTGCGAGAGCTGGAGCGGGAGAGCAGCTACCTGCGGGCCGTGCTGGCTAACCAGAGCGCTCTGGGGCAGCTCCTGAGCCGCTTAGCCGGGATCCGCGCCGGCGGGCTGCAGCTCAGCACCAGCCTCTTCAGGGACACTGGCAGCCCGCGCCGCCATCACCACCACCTCCAGCCTGCCGGCGAGAGCAGCGACCACGACTACGCCCTGCCCAGCTCCCGGCCTGCCAGCCTAGAGGAGGCGGCGGTGGTGACGGAGACAGAGGAGGAGTGGGCATCCCCCGGCGGGATCTGCCTCCACGTGGACCGGGATCAGGTGTCGGTGGAGTTCTGCTCCATCTGTGCTCGGCGGGCAGCGGCCTCCTTCAAAATGTAGGGTCAAGTACCTGCTGCAAGTACTCGTGGGGTGCTCCCCCCTATAACAGGGGCCTCGCGTCGCGGCGGAGGAAGCAGGCGATGGTGCGGAGGAAAAGAATCAATACAGTGGTGATGGGGTGGTATTGGGGGATATGCAGAGGAGGGGAGCCTGGCACGTTAGTGGCCGGGGTAATGAATGAAAGAAAGAAATATCTCTTGAACGTTGGGAGCCAGATGGTGGCCTTGGTTAAAGGTCGTGTAAAGCTGGCGTGTGGACGGTGGTGGTCTGAGGCTGTTTGGTGTAAGAGTCGTGCAGAGCTGCGTGCAGCAGTGCGGTAATTGTCATGCAAACTGACCCGCGTACACACGCAGAGGTGCCGCCACCAGAGCCCGTTTTTTGCAGCACTTGGGTGGAAAAGATCATGCCGACCTGATGCATGAAGGTGTGCTCGGTTCCACTTCGCAGTTGCCAGTAAAGATAACGCTGACTACCCGGTCTTTGAGTCAGATAATGTCTAGCCTGCTTATCCTGAGGAGCCGAAAATGCTTGCTTAGAAAACCAAAAACTTCATTAAGACATCGTCACTGGACAGACTTAAGAAAATAGTAATGATCGGCAAAAGAAAGCATGCATATGAAATTGTACTGCATCTCAGTTATACATTACTATTAAAACCTCTCTGACAGTTTCTCTTTTAGGTGCTTGCCCTGCCAGGCTCCGTTGTGTAGGGGTTAAAGAACAGTCGTTTTCCACCTCGCAACCTGGTAAGGATCAATATATTCCCATAATGCGGTATCAGACAGCTTGCTTTGCTTATGCCAGTCTCTTGTAATGGCTGGTTCAGGAAATGATTTCTCTGGTCCTTGGCCTACTCTGCCAAAATGTTTCTAGCGCTGAATGACAACTCATAGTTCAAATTACCATTGCATCATTCTGATTAGCTGTTTTCCTTTCTTAAATGAATGTGCACGTAGTAGCCAATACATGAGCTACATTTGGAGTTAAAACATAAATGCTTGTCGTTTGAAATAGGAGTTTTGAACTAAGTAATGAGCTGAAAAGGGGAAACATGCTAATAAGGGGGATGTGATATTAACAGCCTTTTAACATAGGGTACTGCCCGCAAAATGTAAGTAAAATGCATTTTTAAAAGGAAAGAATTTGTGACCTGTTCATTTCAAATCCTATCTAGTGTTAGGGATGCACGGTACCTTTGAAAAGCCCTTCCTTAGCTTGCTCTAATTCATGATGCAGAGTTTTGCCTGCTTAAACAGAGCACAGACACTGATTTTAGCTGTACAGTGGAATCCTCGCGTAGAGGAGTCACTTTTTTTGCATGGACCTCTAACAGAGTTGTGGTTTGGAGGATGCAGTGCACCGAAGTAATTTGTCACTTTAGCTTCCCTTAAGCCCATCTCTGTGCTCCTGCATACGCAGGTCCCCACATTACTTCACAGTAGCTTTAAATTGTAAAGATATTGCATGTATATGCATGTGCTTAATTTTACTGTAGAGTTCTTAATTCAGCCTCTTACAGTATCAAGAAATCTATCACTTGATAGAATTAAGCACAGTTTAGAGATGAGCAAATCTGTATCTTGAGGCTCATGATTTGCAAGATGCTCCATAATTAACTGGGATAGGAGGAAAAATAGTTTGACAAACAGTAGGATGTGTTTTCTTGTACTAGTCAGTGTTTCTCCCTGTCACAAAAGACGAGTGGGTTGTCTTTTCAGTTGTATTCTAATGTTTAGGTTGTTTACATGTACATCAGGTTGGGGGAAGAAGGACTGTGAAAATGATAATATGTAAAGTGAGGTTTCACAAAGAATACACTTTCCTAAACCAGTTTCATTTATTTTCTTAAACAAAAAGATTCTATTTAGTGTTTCTGAAGTCTTGTTTCTTAAAGCCTTAAATGTTGTGTTTAAGGCTGTAGTAGTAAGGGAAAGCATTTTTTCCCAGTCATTTGCTGTATTGGTGCTAGACCCCATCAAGTGTTCGTGGGTATAAAGGAGTCTGTTTTTTCTTTGTGAAACATCACTGTGTGATAAAGTATCTGTGTATTTAGCATCCTTGTTTTTCTTTATGCTAAAGTGGATTCAGCTGTGTTGGGGCAGAAGAGACGGGACCAGCTGCTGGCCACATTTCCTGCTTTATTTTAAAAGGTAGTATAAGAAATGAGAATAAAGAGGTAACAGGGCTTTTGCTGTCTTTGGTTAAACAAAAACAAACGAGGTTGAATGCTGGGATCATTTACTGCCATCCAAGATGTTTTCTATAAAAGCCAATATCCTATCAAACAGGTTTTACTCCACTGTGTGCAAAATTCCATCTGGTCAGGGGGTACTGCCAGCACAAAAGAGATTTAGTGAGATACATGTTCCCTTATACCTCAGTGGTGGCATCAGTGGGACTGTGCAGTCAGTCCTGAATTGTATAATCCTGTTGTAATGGATGGGTTACACCAGTGCCACAAGGATCAGAGTTACCCACCGAAACCTGAACTGGCTGAT